GCCACATATCAACCGATAGACCCCTGTGGAGAGGGGAAGATTTTTTGGGGGATGATTGGGATACAGTGGGACAGGTCGCGAGACAAAGAAGACAAAAGACCGCGATTAGCATACCAGATAATGGATCGGGAATGTTGTCATAATAGGCCGATGGGAGTTGGAGATCAAGTAAAAGAGTAAGATTTTGTAAAGTTTGTGTAAAATAAAAATAGATGTCGCTGTAAAAAATAAGAAAATGCTTCTGAACGTAACGATTTTTTTCGGTTCAAAACTTGTTTTAGCCACAGCTTTAAGCCATTCAATATTTTTTTAGAAAAAGACGCCTAGAAAAATACGAAAATCACTTTCAGTTTTATAAGTAATTTGTATGCAAAAATTACGTATTTCCGCATAATTCCCCAAAAATCCCTGCTAGCTAGCACCTTTAATATCCATAGTCATATGTAAATATTCAACCATCCTGAGGCCAAATTCCTTTATCCCCCTTCCAAGCAGTCGCCCTCCGCAGTTTGCCCTGCCTTCCGGGCGGGCCTACGGTATTTGTGGCCCGGGGCAACATTTACCATGGCAGACCAGGGAAGGCATACCCCCTTCAAACCCATCATCCACCCGGTGGCCCCACTGTTTACCGTATTCCCATCAAAATATAGGCTCAGCCATTCCCGTGACGTCCAATTGACATCTTCGTCAGTTTTCGGATCGTGCCCGCTCATTTTTTTAGGTTCCCAGGCGCGTGCGAGGGACCCTCAAAAAAGGGCAGAGATCCCGCGCCCCCAAAAAAGGTTGGGAAACTTGGAAAAAACGGGAGAAAAGTGGTTTTTCCGTATGGGTTTTACGCAGATTTACGAGTTTTAGTCGACGGTGGAGGAACTCGAAGTGCGAGCCCAAAGCTAAGCCTAGGTTTAGGCACAAGCCAAGGCCTAAGCCCAAGCCTCCCCTGACTAAAACCAAGCAAAATCCTCCCAAAAATTGGGATTCCATTACGCTCCACCATACGAACACCAAAACTTTCCACTTGCCTCCGGCAGATGTGCGGTACCCCGGATTGCGGTAAATTATCGGAGTTACGTCGGTCTAACCGTATCGCAATCTCTCTCTCTCTCTCTCTCTCTCTCTCTCTCTCTCTGGCTATGGTCAGTTGGGTGGCCCCCATCGGACCATCAGACCCCATCCCCTCCGTCGAAACGTTGCGCCACACGCCAATTTGCGACGATTTGGGCAGCGGGGGTCGGAGCCACTTGAGGCTGCCCCACTGGATTATCTGCCCCCAGGGCACAACAGAGAGAGAGAGAGAGTGAGAGAGAGACATGGAAAGATGGAACTACGCTGATTACCATGGACGGGTAAAGGGGAGTGTGTTCATCCTCGTACCCATACACAGCACACAATCAACCAACACACATACCATAGTAGCATCGCGGAATTTCGGAGTTGGGAGAGTTTTGGAGGTTTGACTCAACGCGTCGGCAACACGTTCAAGCTTTTTCAGGGTAGCTTAGGGTTCTACTTAAGCTGGGACTTGGCTGAAGCTTAACTTCTAGTCTAGGCTTAGCTTTGGCTTACATTACCTAAAGTCATCGCATTTCCAACCCGATACCACCGAGCTTCACCTTCCTTAAAACTGCCACCTCTTCCTCCCCACCAAAAGTATTGGGAGAGTCAAACTGATTGCTTTCCTGCCGGCCGGAATCCCCGCAAAAAGCGCTAGTATGGAATGGAATTGGGGAGCAGGAGAAAGAGCAAGAGCCGGTGGAACCCTTTGAACTCCGTAAGCCCCGGGAGGGTACGGCTCATTTCTCTAGCCACCCCACCTATACCCAACACTACTATGCACGTTTCGGGATTAGAATGGGGGGAGAGGAGGAGCAGCTCGGAATCGGGATACGGTATCAAAAAGGCTGAGCGAATTTCTTTCTCTCTCTCTCTCTCACCCAATCTCTCCCTCTCCGACAGGAAAAGAAAAACGAGAACCAGCTTTTTCCTGCACAAATTCCCTAAAGATCCCTGCTAGTCTACTCTCCATGTTTACGCAACACACCTCCAAATAAACATAACACCACCCCAGGGTATCAACTTGTCCACTCCACCATAACTAATTACGCAACGGCTACCTACCCCCATTCCAACTCTCATTTTGATAAGCCCAAGTGGCTCTCGAGGGCTGTAAAACCCCCCAAATGCACCAGAAATGGCGCAATTATGAGAGCGAGATAGAGAGAGAGAGAAAGAGAGGCTCGGCAGCCTGTTTGTTTGCCTAATGTCCATGAATGGTTAGGGTTCGATTCCAGCCACTGATTAGCATGCGGACGGGTTCCATAAATTCCGCAACGATCCGCGCTGCGCTCTCGGGAGGCCGTAAAAAGGGTCAATTTCGGCAGGGGCAAGCTAGTAGAGACTTTTTGGGAAGATTTTGGTAAATTTTTCGCGAAAGGCAGAATACCAATCTAGCAACCTAGCAGCGTTTCTTTGATAACTCATTTTTCAGTCTCTGACATCACTGCGCTGAGTAAAAACAGGCAAATTAACCACCAGGATTTTTCTTCTTCACCACCCCTTACCCAATCGAATTCTCGATTTGCATAAAAATGAATTTTGGGGCCCCGGTTGTTCAGATTGGCTATTGCTCAAAGCGGCCATCCCTCCCCCACCGCCAACTTGAGCGATGCCACCACTGCTTCGCGTACTCTTTTTCTATAGCCCTCTCTCTATCTCTCTGACTACTCTCTCTCTCTTTCCCTCTCTCCCGCTTTCTCTAGCCGTCCAGATTTATTGGTGTGGCCTTGGGGGCAGCTGACGGGCCGGGGAAAGTCTTTAGAGAGCGAGCGAGAGGTTTGCCATTGGGCCTTACCGGTAATTTCGGTCGGGGTTTTAATGGGCAGTTCCTAGAGGCTTTTTAAAGGAAGGGTGAAGGCATATAAAGCTGTGGATTGACTGGGTCTGTACAAAAATGAGAAAAAATCTTATCCACTTCTCTCTCTCGCTCTCCCTCTCTCTATTTAGTTCTCTATTTCGCTCTCTTTTTCTCCTTTCCTCAGGAAATCCATTTTTTTCGAGTCGGAATAGTAAAATCATGCCTTCTCCCCAATAGGCCAGGTGTCCAGTGTTGGTTCCCGGAATTGAGAGTGTGTTTCTCGCTCTCTCTCTCTCTCTCTCTCTCTCTCTCTCTCTCTCTCGCTCTCTCTCATCTCTCCCCCTCTCACTCCCAACACTACCATCAAAGCCCAAAAAACCCTGGAAGCGCGTGTGCGACATTGGGCCACCCCCATTTCGGACAGCTGGCCCTCCCTACCCCCCTGTGAAAAGCGACGATTCGCATATCCCGAAAAAGAAATCGAGGGAGACGACTTTGTGCCTTTTAGTCAGGCACACGCTCACTTTCTTTCTTCCCCCTCCCCGGTCGGCTTATGGGCCAGATGGTTGATGATTTTGGGAAACGCATTTTTGAGCCGTGGCCCGCGGAGTCGCTAAGAAATAGCATATCCACACAGCTGCACGACGGGAACTGCCCGTTTTTTGAGGGGTTTGAAAGTTCAGCGGAATAGGTTTGGGGGTTTAAAGGGGCTGGGAAGGCACGAACGCAGCCCGCTAAACCGAGATCCGGGATGAGCGTGAAAAAAGCTAGTAGAACTTTAGCGAAGCCAACGTCGGGAGCTGGAGCTTGGAGCTGACTTGAAAATTCAGAAAACGTAAAAAAGTTTTTTTGTTGTCAAGCTCCTAGCTGCCAGCTCCAGGCATTTATTTACTAGCATCAGAAGCTGCAAAGAGAAAACCTACAAAAATACGATTTTTCGATCCAGCTCTTAGCTAACAGCTCCCAGCTCCCAGCTCAAAGTGTCTATTTTCTAGAACCGAAGGCCTCCAAGAACAGCGATAAAAATTACTTTCGGATCTAGCTCCCAACTCCCGTCTTGGCTTCACCTTATCCTCCCCTTATTTATTCACAAGCCCATCCACCCTTGCCCGTGATGTCGGATGATTGACGGACAGAGAGACTGCAGGAAGTGAAACCCGCAACCAACCAACCATCCCCTCCCCTTCTCTACCCGGGATTACACACGACTCCTATAGACCCACAGCCGACCACCTGCATGCCACACAAATAGCACCCGAGGGCATCCAACGACGACTGCGTGGCGCCCGGAGCTGGTTGGGAAAAACGAGGGATTCAAATTGGGGCTGAATTTGGGATTTCAACGACAAGATGAAGTGGGCTTCGACACGGTGAACTATAGATCTGGACATGGGCTTCGGTTCAGGTTAGGCATAGGCTTATGCTTATGCTTAGCTTGGGCTTATCTTAGGCTTAGCGTAGGCTTAGCTTAGACTTTCATTGGACCTAAGCTAACTTCAAGCCCAGGCTTAGCCTAGCTTTCACTGAGGCTTCTGTTCACCTGAGCTTCACCTTTACATCCCTATTGACCCCCAATTTACAACCCTCCCATCAGCTCTAAAAGCAACACACTGTCTCAAATGTTGAAGCCACTCCGTCGAGATGCCAGCTGTTCCACCTGAGCGCGCATAAATTTCCGTAAAAATCGTGGCCAAATCATCCATAAATTGGGGGCCACGAAGGGGGTCGGGTGTGTTGGCCGTGGCCAGGGGGGCGGGGCCGTCAGGTGGTGTGCGCGGAACCCTCGAAGCCGAAGGGCCAAAAATAAATTTGTTGAGCTTTAAAGAAAACGGAAATTGTTTGTCCAAAGAACCATGTTTTTCCAAAAAATGAAATTTTGTGAGTATCTGTAAGGATTTTTCCTTTTTGAGTCACTCTGTTCCCTCCCAAATTCAAATTAACAATCATCAAAGCCCTGCCGACTTCAACAACGCGCCAAAACCGATAAACCATCGGCCAAAACGCCCCATAAATCAGTGCGAAACTGTTTTTCCTAGCCTGCACTGAGACCTAAATGGCTTGATGACACGCGTCACGTCCAGCCTAGATAACTCCCAAATATTTCCCTCCGGCGCCCAGGCACGACACGGTTTTGACACGGGGCCGCCTAATCTGATCGATGATTGGGTGCCAAAAACGGCGATTCGGGCATTTGGAGGGCTGGGAAGTGGGATGGCCTGCGGGCATGGATCTTACGGATGCGGGGTGGTGCTAAAATGGGGAGATTTCTAAACGTGCCTCGGGTTGGGATCTATATAGCTCTCTCGTTTGCTCTCTCTCTCTCTCCCTATCTCTCTCTCTAGCTCCATGATCCTTGATCCTTACTGCCTACATCCCTTTAAACCCCACTAGAAACAACGAATGCCACTGAATTCCCAATCGTAAATCATTCAAAAGAAAAGCCAAAGGAGAAAGAGAGAGAGAGAGAGAGAGAGAGAGAGAGAGAGAGGGAGAGAGACTGAGAAAAACAGTGGTGACCTTTTGGCCGTATTGAAAGGTGGCAAGGGGGTCTATATGATGGCCCCCTATACCCCCGGACCCCCGGCACCAAGACGGTTTTACGATCAAATTAAGCCCGTTCCCCCGTGAATCGTATGGAAACGGAATTTTGCAATAAAAAGCATGGCATTTCAAAAACTCAAATCAATGTTTTGAAGCCGGAAATAATCAGAAATCAAGTTAAACAGGAAAAGAGAAGGTAGACATAAGGTACGAATAAGAAAATTCAATAAAAACTTACATGCCGGCTTGACGCGTGCCGGATTCGACCGGACGACGTCCGAGTCGGAGGTTCTGCTCGCGTAGCACTGACACGAAAAATCCTCCATCGGGAACCCGGCTTCGACTTCGGCTCTGGAATCGGGGTCATTGTTTTCTTTAAAGTTTTTGGTGGTGAAAATATGCAAAAAGCCGCATTGTAGCCTGTACTTTGGATTGTAACGGGAAGAACGAAAACCAGAAATACCTTGAAATCTCTACACTGCCTTCCATAAATGCCATTTGGGTGGATGGGTCGGTGCCGAGCTTGTTCTCGATTCGCGATTCGTCGATCTAAAGTAAAATCATGTTTTGTAGGATTACTTCTCACACTCTCTCTCTTTCTCTCTCTCATTCTCTCTCGCTTCAAACTTTATCCCCCCAGCGCTTCAAAAAGCGATTCGTAATAATTCCAGAGGGGGTCGAATGTCTGTCGGGCCACCAGAATGCATTCCCTGGGGGGCGCTAGCAGCAAAAGTCCATAGTGGAAGTAAGGAGCAGGAGATGGGGAGGAGTAGGAGGAGAAGCAGCTTGCCATCCCACAAAACACACAGGAACATGATTTTATCATTGTTTTCTAAAAATTTTAGATTAAAATTTACAAAAGCTTTATCAATTTTTAAGATTTGAAGCATCGCTCGCTCTCTCTCTCTCGCGCTCTTGCTCAAACCGAACTGAGTGTTCAGAAGATTTCTGAGCATCTTCCGCTAAAAGGGTGCCGCTTATCAATCGCACGAGGGGGCAATCCCCTGCAGCAATAACAGACACACACCGTTTCGAGGGGGGATTCCCGCGGAACAAACGTTTGCACAACGGATCAGCGGCCGCAAAGGGGTATAGAAGGGAATAGGGGGATCAGGGAGAAGCTTTGATTTCCCTATCTAAAGGTTATAGGGGGCAGTGGGACAAGCTTTAGGGTTAAAGCTTTATATACAATCCTGATGGCGCATTTTGCGAGCGAGCAAGAGAGTGAGAGCGAAAGGCAGAGGGAGAGAGAGAATGAGAGAGAGAGCTAGTGCTAGATACAAAGTGTGGCCAGCTGGGTACACGCTGAATGAGGAGACCATCAAGGCATAACATATCCACAGCCCCCATTGGTATACACAATACGCCCTCAATTTGGCAAGTGTTGGGCGCCGGGTCAGCACTGTACTCCACATTTGAATAGATTTGAAAAGCCTTTAAAGGGTCCCGAAAGTCAAGAGGATGTCAAGGATAAGTATGAAAGGAATAGTGAGTTTCATGTATCGATATTTTTAGGCTTTAGACGCGGAAGCCGCAGCCTAAGCATAAGCCTCAGCTAGGCCTACTTACCCATTTTGAGTTGCATTTGAATCGAATCTTCTTCGCGTTCAACGCCTTGCAGCTCAGAAGATATGGTCGATTTTTGACGACGTAACCGGATGAGGGCCCTTCTACGACCACCACCTCTTCCATTACTGAAAAATATATATAGAGAACCATTTAAAGAAATCTACTAGAAAAGCGCAGTAATAGTCACTGAATTTAGCTGTAATTGATATAAACTCATAGCAGCTAATATGCAAAACAGCTCGAACTCGGAACACCGCTGGGGAGGAACACTATTGTTGGGGGCGGGAAAGTGAGAGGGGAGGGGCAGAAAAGCCGATTAAAGAGGCAGAGAAGGGAGGAAAGGGGGGCAATAAGGGGGCGGGATCAGCTGGCTCCGCCCCTTCCCCGAGTTGACTCGAAAAGATGGATGGGGTGGAGGGGAGAGGATGCCGATATGCCTCCTAGATTAGCATGCAAACCCCCACACAATCGCCGATTTTGGGCAGAGATTGCGGTAGAAAATGGTTACTGGTTGTGGTGGGCGAAACTTTTGGGATTGGCGCTAGAGAGACCAAACCAAAGACAGATGATAACAGAAAAATAACTAGCAATAGGATCCGGAAACCGACGAACGTGAACGAGAAGAAAAACTAAAGATCCCAACAATTTCGAAAAGCCACAATCCCGACAGTCCCGACCGTGACCTGCAAAATGGCTTTTAAAAGTGGATTCAAGTTAGCGTCTAAAAATTATTCGTTGTCAGTATTTTGATTGTCGGCATTTGCTTGGCGGAATTTTTAACAAACCCAAGCCGAAGAGTTTCAATGAATTTAATGAATTTAAATAAATTACCTACTTATAAAACGCTTAAAATCATAAGCTTTATTATATAAAAACAAAACAAAACATGGTAAGAGTCTAGAAAACCCCCCCCCCCCCCAGCCGGCACCAACTTTTGTATCTCGGTCCCCTTTTGTGCTAGCGAGCTCTAAAGTATACCAAACTGTTCGCCGTAGGCTAATTAGTAAGACTACATTGCAGTTTAGTCGAAAAAAGTAGCGAAAAATAAAAATAAGAAAGGTAGAAAAGCTGAAAAGTCGGCTGGGGGGGGGGGGGGTTTCCTAGACTTGAGCCCAAAACATAAATGAATGAAACATATAAATATAAATAAAATAAAATATAGGAAAAATAAAAAATATAATAAACTAGAAAAAATAGTATATTGGCACCTTTACAACGCACCTACCATTTACAACCCCACGTATTTAGGCCCAAATTGTAAATGTGCCACTATTCCATTCTTTTCTATAAGAGGTCAATCCCCGATCAAGATTTGCAACCCGAATTCCCCCTCGCCGAGATCATGATTGCCCTCGCCGGGGTTGTAAAATCCCCGGGAAATCGTCATCTTATCAATTCTATCCCCTGTCCCACTCCTTTTCCCTTATATTCCATAGCCCCAGGCCATCTTTCCTTCAGTTCCCTTTCCCCTAGAGGACTCCTCCCCCACCCCGTCGGATTCCCAGAATTTATGGGCCCCCGATTTATGGCATGTTGCATGCTAATTTTGGGTGGTCTTGCAAAGGGGGTCCAGTCTACCGGGTTATTGTGGGAAAATCGGGAAAGAACGCAACTCTTCCTAGTACGGAATACAAAAACGCCAAAATACGTAAATTAAAAATACCAACATCCAAAATCGTGTCTGCAAAATCCCGACAGGCCAAAATACCGACCGCGAAAAGTTAAAAAGCCAAAGTCCCGCTCGAGGACTAACAAAACAAAACAAAGAAACAGGGCAAAATATCGACAGCCAGAATACCGACAATTCGAATAAGGTAAATTTAATCAAAAACTGACCGAAAATAATTTAAAAGCTGTTCAGCCGTCACGCACACGCGACGCAAATCAAAAGCTACGTGAAGCTCTGCCGGAAAGTCGACAGATGTTTCTTTATTGGCTAGCCTGTTTCAAGCACAAGATCCAGATGTGTTTGCGCTCCGAAATGACGAAAAGTCGGGCTTATGCTTGACATCCGGCACGTTTCGTTTTTTTTCGGAAAATGAAAGAGACAGAGAGAGAGAGAGAGAGAGAGAGAGAGAAAGAGAGAGAGAGAGAGACAAAGCAAGGGAGGGAGAACGAGCAATGCGCCACACACGTGTCCCGGATAAAACGGAAGAGCGAGGGGGTATCTACCGCATGGAGCCGCACAGAGATCCGGGGAGCTCGAGGAAATTTACTGCGATCTGAGCACCAGATGTGAAGAAGGAGGGGAGGAGACCGCCAAGAGGGGAGATCCGAAGATCCGATCACAAGGTGTGGAAAAGGTAGGGCTAGCCACCTCGATTTTGGGGTGTAACACATTTACTTTCACTAGATAAGCATCAGACGGACCTCATTTTAGGACTCTTTGAAAGTCTGAGCCTGAGCCTAATGCTAAGCGTAAAAAGCAACAAATTATTATTAAGATGTCGTCACTCTTAAATGAGTTAATATGAAAATGAATAGAGAAAGAGGCGTAAAAATAAGGTTAGACCTGAACCTAAGCCTAAGCCTAACAAGCTTAAGCCTAAGTCTATGCGTAAGCGAAAGCCTAACCTAATCCCAACCTATGCCCAAAGCCTCAGCCTAAGCCTAAGCATAAGCCTAAGCCTAAGCCTAAGCCTAAGCCTAAGCCTAAGCCTAAGCCTAAGCCTAAGCCCAACCCAAGCCTAAACCAATAGGCCTATTTTTTAATCAATCTTCTAAACCTAAATTCAGTACCTCTTCGCACTACTAATACCTGCAAAACCGGAAGCGAAACCAAACTCCCCCTTCAAATCGATCAAAAAACCAATCTAACCCCCGCACCCCATAAATGACCCTATTTCAGCGTGTAAATAAATTGTGCATGGGAATGTTTGGGGGGAGAGGGAGAAGCCGAATATTTTCCTATCCTAGAGCTTCTCATCGGCTCTCCTCCTCCTCCTGGAGATCCACGCGAATTGGGTGCCAAATTTGAAAGCGAAGAGGGGAGAGAAGGGGGATGAAGAGGAGGAGAAGCTCAGCAAATGGAGAGCGAAACTTCTTTTTCAGGAAGGGGGGCTCAAAATGGGGCTCCAGGGGTTTTCTCCGGCGGGAACGGAAGTTTGAATGGAGGGGATATGGCCTGGGGTTTTCAAAAGGTTTTGCAGCCAATTTGGATACATTTATCTTTCTCTCTCTCTCTCTCTCCCTCTCTCTCTAAAATTTTCTACGTGTTGCCTTAGTTTTTTTGGAAAACAAATATTGCCAACCCCCAACGCATTCCATAACCCGAGGGCAAATGCCTTCCCATTACCCTTTAGAAATGTCTCTCTCTCTCTCTCTCTCTCTCACTCTACTTCTCTCTCTCTGTCTCACTCTCTCTCTCTCTCTCCCCTTCCTCTTTCCGGAATTCCTCCTGCCATTCTCCAGAATAATAAAATGCCCTTATCAAAATGATTCCCGGGAGGGAGAAGCCAGTGGCTGTATGCAAATATGGGCATTGTCAGGGGGGAAGGGCTTCTCCCCCCAGCCATCTCACACATAATTGGCCGCTCGTGTACAGAGACATGGTGCGGAAGTGGAACTGTATGGGAAGATGGGGAGAGCGAGAGCGAGAGAGAGCGAAAGACAGCGAGAGAAAAACCAAATGTTATCCTAAACCCATTCAACGAATAACACTACCCAACCCCACAAGACAGCCAATATTATTATAGCTAACCCGTGAGAAGGTATGAATATCGTTTTGCCAGCCCGATCATGGCTATTCTATTCTATCCATTTCCCTAAAATGCCCCGAAAAACGCGGTGTCACCCCGGCCAACAACCCCCCGACACCTCCGACGAATTTTTGATTTTCACCCGCCCGCCGGCCGCGATTTCTATTCGAGACCGATGATTGAATACGACGTGGAATCGGGGCGGTTTGTATATGCTTATTACGCTTTTATTACCGTGTAAAATTAATTTCATTCAAAACATGCTTGGAAAAGTCTGGATCTTGCATGACATCCAGCACGCTTCTTCTTTGTTTCCGGGAAGCGGAAGAGTGAACGGGAGAAAGAGAGAGAGAAAGAGAGAGAGAGAGAGAGAGAGAGGGAGGGAGAGAGAGAGGGATAGAGTAGGAATCAAAAATTAAAAACCCGGACTTACTCGATTTATAATCCACAAAATAGTCATCATAGGCCTCATTGGAGGATGGCGGTGGATCGGACGTCTTTGTCGACAATGTCATCCTAAATTACGCTATTTTTTGGTAAATTTAGAGTTAACAATAACAAAAATATCGCAATTTTTGCGGCGCAGAAAATCGGCGCGTCGAAAAAGGGGGAGGCCTGGCTAATCTGCCGTGACAAATCCTATCGACCACACATAGAGAGAAGGGAGAATTCAGATACAACTGATTTTAGGGTCTGCAAAAGTAGCTTTCTCTCTCTCTGTCTCTCTCTCTGTCTCTCTCTCTCCCTGTCTCTAGATAAACTGGCGAGTTAGAAAATAGATTTTCAGTAAAAAAAAACAAATAAAAGTTCATAGAAAATACTACCCATATCTTTTGGGGGTCGAAGGGCGGCTTTTTCCGAGCCTCAACCCTTCTTTCTCCAGTCCGGGGGGCAGTTGGAGGAAATTTAATTGTGAGGGGACGGGAAGCTCTGTTACATGCCAGATTAGGGGAGGAGAGAGGCAGAGAGTGAGCGAGATATAGAGAGAGACAGACAGAGAGAGAAAATATAGAATCCTTCAGGAAACATCCTGTTGATCGGCTCATTGCCATATGTGTGAGGGCTTTGGAGCAAGCTAAAGCCAAAGCTTCAGCCTAGCCTCGGCCTAAACCCAAGCCAAAACCTAAGCCTAGGTGATGCTCTTCGGTCCCTAAGAATCTCTGCACATCTCTGGCGCTTAGATGATCGACGCTAGCTTACTCTGGCTGTTCAACAAATGGTGATAGACTCTCCTAATTAATTTTTTATACAAAAACAAACAAAGCTAAAGATAGAAGCTATGTAATAACGTGAACAATATGCACGAATGTTATGCTATGCTATTTGGGGTGTGTGGTGTATGTTGAAGGATTTGTGTGTATGGAAGGAGCCGAGAAGGTGATAGATGGGCCGATGGGGGGGTCTTAGGTCCCAGATGGAGAGAGG